ATACACCCTTAATCCTATCACTTGAGAGGCAGAGATCCATCTGGATCTCTGTGAGTTCAAAGCTGCACTGGGAACAGAGTCAGGCAGTGGTGGCATACACCTTTAATCCCAGCACTTGAGATCTCATGCCTTTGCTTGGGAAGCGCACACACACACACACACACACACACACACACACACACACACACACCTTTAATCCCAGAAAGTGACATGGCTGGGTGGAGAACGGTATAGAAGGCGTGAAGAAACAGGAACTAAGCAGCAGTTCAACTGAGACCCTCAGGGTGAGGACTCAGAGGCTTTCAGTCTGAGGATTTGTGTAAACAGGATCAGCTGAGGAATTGGCAAGGTGAGGTTGGCTGTGGCTTGTTCTGCTTCTTTGATCTTTCAGCTTTCACCCCAATATCTGGCCAGGTTTTTTTTTTTTTTTAAGATTCGTGTTACATATAGTTTTGCTTTATTTTGTTTGTTTGTTTATTTGAGATATGGCACAACTATGTAGCCCTGGCTGGCCTTGAACTTGTCTTTGTTTCCAAATGCTGGGATTGAAAGTATGTGCCCCCATACCCATCCATATCATTCTTGGAACGGCAGGAGCTCAGTGATATAGATCTGAATTTCTTTTCCTTTGGGTCCAGTGGAACTGACTGGTTCCATAGTAAGAGGCTATTTCTTGGTTATTATATTTAGTATGCTTTCATGGGGCAGAGTTTTGAGAAGCAGGCTACTGTCAAAGCATCGAGGACTTGGCCAATTGTCCTATAGTTCGACAGTCTAGGAACGATACACCCAAGCAACAGTGGGACTCTCCAGAAGAGAAAAGCAGCTCTGCTGTAAGGCGGTCACCAGCGTGTGCAGAGGTGAAACTCCCAGTGCCAGCAATGCAGTGCTTGTGACATACATTCATGGTAAGCAGACAGAGCACCAAAGGCCATAAGCTCAGATGGCTAACATTGGTGAACATGGTGTGGTAGCTACTTTTCTCAGAGCTGTGACAACACCTGATGGAAACATTTAGGGGAGGAGGAGTTGAGCTTGGCTCACAGTTTGGAGGGTTTAGCTCGTGAGGACAGGGAAACATGGGGGCCAGGGTAGCTCCACTTCCAGAGGGAGGAGCCTATAGAATAGGACCATAAGCAAGGCAAGGCTATGACCATCAAACATCCACTCTATATTGGATGGTCTATATTGATGAGGTAAGCCCTTGTGCTAAAGTTTCCACGGCTTCTCAGAACACCACCTCTAGATGGGACCAGGTAGTCAAATGTGATTTTAGATTCAAATCAGAACATAGGCAGGCATGAAAATGGTGGCTGGAGATGATAACTTTTAAATTTGAGATCTTCTGCATTTTGCTTTTTATTTCCCCATGAATAGGTGTTTAAATGGAAGGAGAGAGGGAAGGGTTAGACTCCTAACCAATCATTTTCTTCCATCCTTTCAAACCCCATTCTTTAATGGAGGATTCTGAGGATTTGCTTAAATACTTGTAAAAAGCAACATTCACTTTATTGTTAGAAATATCCAGTGGCTTTAGTGTAAACTGGATATTTAAGCTCAAGTTCTTTGCCAAGTATCTTCACTTCATAATCCAGGAGATTGAGTTCTAGAGGAGATAACACAGGTAGTGCCAGTCTTTGAAGAAAGTAGTCATATCAAGGTGTTTTACCATGTTTAGCTCATAGTTGTTATGGAAACCATTATATCATGACTTGGATTCTTTCTGAGTTAGGTCTGCAGAGAGTCCCGGAGGCCTGAGGTAATTTATTCATTCTCTTAATCGTAATATGTGCACCTTCACCAGCATTTTAACCCAGCCTCTGATAACCACCATTTTACCTTCTACTTCTATGAGAACATTCAATGAGACATCTATGCAAATGACTTTGAAAATATTTATAAACATTGCTAATACACTCAACATTATTTTATTGCAAATGAGTATGCATTATGATAAAAATGTCTCTTACATTCTAAGAGACTGGAACTATGGTTGGGCATGTATGTTATGATAAACATTTGCCGAAAACAGAACCCAGGAAGAAGGCCCTATAAAATGAATAGGCACCTTAAATGTTGGTAGCAACATACAGATATTGCTTGGTAAGCAAGGATGTCTGCGATATTGCTTATTACCCGGTTCACTTGGGGTCAGTGACTTTATGCCTTATAAAACCCTGTTAAAGATTCCTGTTCTGTATCTCTCAGTCCTTCTCTGGCTAATGCTTTCTGTGCTGTTCAATAAAAGAGAGAGAGCAAAGACTTGTTACACACAGAGACAGACACAGGGTTAGATTCACAATATGGCAGTTCGGTAGGCACAGATTCAGGCTAATACAACTATACAGGATAATGGAGGACGGAGGGAGAGGGAAGTAGAGAATTCAAATCTGCTCTCACTCGTGGTCAGACAATACCCAGGGAAAGTTCTTTGTTATTTTCCTTAATGTGACAGAGATGCATTACTGGTGAGCGAGTTTATCTTAATGCAGTCAAACCAACGGAGGGGTCAGTGATGCTCCTCCTTTTGTTCCTCCCCAAGGACAAATCTGTCCCGTCTGTCCCCAAAGTGAATTCTCAGCACTGCATACCCTTCTTGACTTCTGGGATGCTTCTTCTGTTCAGAGAAAGGGCCATCAGAAATCTGTTGCCAAGAAAGAGAAAATGGCCCCTGCAGGCAGCTGGAGATGTGCCTGCAAAAACAAAAACAAAAAACAACTGGCAAAAACAGCTAGCCAGCCGAGCACTGAGGCCAACAACAGGTGCCGAGACCAAAGCGCAGGCATGGGGCCAGAGGCTGGGAAGGAGAGACCAAGGTAACTGCTTTCTTCCTGTTTGCCTTTGTCCTGGTTTAAGGACAGAATCTGAGGAGCCCAGGAAGCTTCTCTGTATTGAGCAAGCACTGGTCTCTTGATCACCACAGACACTCCCAGGTGGCAGGAGGAAGTCACATGAAGCTTTTATGAAGGAAAGGCTGCCAAGACCACAGTTGGGCTACCAACAAATAAAAAAAATGTCAATGTTAATACACATAGTGGTTTTGCTGTGTTGATGTTCCAAACTGCTCCACAACTAGGGGACAACATCAAAGAGGCAGACAAGCTTTGAAGGCTTGGAGGCGGTTGGGGGGCGGGGGAGAGTGACCAGCTGAGAAAGCAGTCCTAATAAATATGCATTGTCTACAGAAGTGATGTGTATGTGCATGCATGTGGACAAATTCTTTTAATACATAATTTTGGCCAGTTTATTTGCCCCTTATTGGGAAGCAAGTTTTTTCCTGATGAAGTATCTGGCAATAGATGCTCTGTCTACTTTGCCCATCTTGCGGTTGTATCTGGCATCTTAAAGACATCTACTACTTATCTGCTAATTATCTCACTAAACGGAGACACGCCAGCCATTAGAATTCAGTTTTCTAGGGGATGCGGAGATGGCTAGTCAGTTAAAGCGCTTGTTTTAACCTGTGTTGAGAACTGGAGTTGGGATTACCAGAAACTCAATGAATGTGGTTGCCTGCCTGTAAGGCTAGCCTCAGAAAACAGAAACAGGGGTTCCCAGAAGAGGCAGGCTAGCAGGACTAGCTATACTGGTGTGCTCTGGGTGTAATTGAGAGCTCCCGTCCCAAAGAATAAAGTAGAAGAGTCAGCGAGGATGATTCTCAACATCAGTCTTAGGCCTCTATACCCACTCTCACATACATGTAAGTATACCTCCACAGAGGTATACTCACACATGTAAGACGTGCATACACATAAGTACCACACACACACACACACACACACACGCACACGCACACGCACACGCACACAATGGAAAATGGAAAAAGGAAAATGAATTCAGTTTTCCATCTTAGTTTGCAAAGTTTCAATACATTCGAAGTAAAAAAGCCACTCTTGGTCCTTCCCTCTCTGTGCACCCCTGGTAGTGGGTTAGTGGAATGTAAGTGTATGAAAGGGATTTCTGAGTTTTGTCATGTGCCTTCCTAAATGCAGCTCCATCTGGTGCCAGGAAGAGATTGGTCTAAGCATGGCCACAAACTGTTTTTACTATGAAGGACTTTAGACTTTACAGACTAAAGGTTCCTGAGGGTCTTCCCTAACCTAGCATCAGTAATGTTAGTCCCTCTGTAGTCTGTAAAATAGATGGCAATGATACAAGTAATCTTGCTAGAAATGGGAAAGAACCGTTCTAGTGGGATGCTGTTGTCGGTGACTTCATGGCTACACCACTCTCCCATCTACTAGGAGTTTCCTTCAGTACTCCTCATTGTCTATAAATACTTACTTTCTAAAGTTTTCCTTCAAACTGTTTAACTTACAGGTTCACCTACTAATGAGAACACTATTTGATACATATCTATTTCAAATTTATAGAGTATATCATGATTTTACATCTTTAAAAATTGGACATTGCACTTTTAAAATTTATTTTTATGGCCTTTAAATTTATTTTTATTAGCTTTTTGTTATTAAATGTGTTTGTATGTGTATGTATGTGTGGTTTGTGATGTGTTCATGGGTGCACATATACCATAATATGTGTGGATGTTAGAGAACAGGACAATGGGGTTGGTTCTCTCCTTCCACTGAATGGGGTTGGTTCTCTCCTTCCACTGTGAGGGTCCCAGGGACTGTACCCAGGTTGTCAGGCTCAGTGGCAAGTGCCCTGACCTATTGAGCCATCTTGCCAGAATATTTATTACATTTTAATGTCTAATTTTGAAACCTTGTTTCAGGAATTCACTATTTATCCTCACCCCTTTTCATGATTCTCTCCTTTTTCCTCCTGGGTTTGTGTTTGCCTGTGCACATGTGTTCATCTGTTTAAAGCAGTTCTCAATGTTGCCATTA